ATCCAAAAGATTTACCACAAAAGATTATGGCAGCTCTGGACTTGAACAATGCTACAGCATCCCTTTTAAAGTTAAATCATACTTGACTATAGTTATAACAGTGTCCATAAAAATACAAACAACATGAGGGTAGTTCAGCTGCTGAATGCCCACTGATAGTGCTTTTTATTGCATGGACGAGATCACAATTCATACACTAACCCCATTTTCCCAATTCCCCAAGTTTCATTCTGTCAGGATTTGGAAATGTTGTGAAATTTATACTTACAACTGTAATGGGAGGAGGGAAACTGTGAGGGCTGCCAGTATCAAATGCTTAAAGAAGAGCAATGCCATAGGATCTCAACTCTCCTGCTCTCTGTGAGGAGAACTGTGGTGGAGCAGGACCTATCAACGAGAAACACCTGGTGGAGGCATTTTGTTCTGCTCCAGCAGGTGTGGTCAATCTGTAGGGCCAAATCCTGATCAAGAAATTACTGCCCTTGGTGTTTGAGAAGTCAGGATTGGCATCAGCAGCTTGGCACATCCTGCCTTCAAACCAAAGAACACATAAGGAGAAGAATGAAGAAAAAAAAACCAGATGCCAAGACTGGAAAAATATGGACAACCATCAAAATTAGTATTACCTTGGATTTAAATGTATAGCAAGATATACTTAGCAGATAACATAGCAATCAACATATCTCCGGGATACAGAATGTGATAGATCATGATCTAAAATTTTTATATATATGTATATGTATATATAAAATTATAATTTCTATATAGCATAACTAGGAAGCAAAATAAAACTATTTGTCATAGAAGGTCTAGAAATATTTTCTTATTTAGGTATTTTCCTGATTTGTGGGATGGAGTTCCCAACATAAAAATGCCATAAAGTTTATTTATAAATTTATCAATTTTGGATTTAGTCTGTGAGGAGCATAAGTGAGGAGTAGAGCATTGCAGTCAGCTCTAGGTGCCTGAGGATGTTATGGCAGAAGAGTTGGAAGATGTGGAGAAAAGTGGGTATATGAAGAGGGAGCTGAAGGTGTTGGAGTGGAGGGGACACCAAAAGCCAAGGAGGTAATAAGGTTATTGATGTGGGGAAGGGTGCAGTAGAAACAAGACACAAATCTATAGGACATCACAGACAGTATAATTTCTGATTCTTATAGAACAACTTGTTTATGTATTTGCCCAAACATTAGCCAGGAACAAAATTGCTATGAGGAAGTTAGAGATAATAATAGTACAAAAATTATAAATAAGAAAAAATTGGACGAAACTTTTAAAATGCTCACACCTGGAGAGAAATACAAGTTTCCTTTTGTCTAATGCTTTCCTTACTTTTCTGTAAAAATGATGGTAGATCAGTAATATACTTCTCTCTATGTGAGAACAAAGAAAACATTAAAAAAATAATTTGCAAATATGCTGAGAATATGTTCATTCTCCATTATTAAACAGTTCAAGGGCAGATTCAGCTGAGCTTTAAATGTAATAAAGAAATGATTTCAAAGCAACACTATGAGCCTCATACAGTAATTGAGAGTAGAAAAACAAGGGTGATAAAAGTGTCCTGTGTTATTGATGTTAGAGTTCATATATGATGCATTTCTGTGACGGGATTATCAGAGCACTGATGACAATATGTACTTACTTATCAAACTAAACAAGGTGTCTCAAAAAGGAGAAATATTAAATTATGTGCTGTCAGCCAGCTATACTATTCAGCAACACTGTGTGTACGTAGTATCTGTTCCATACATCTGTATTTCTGCACGTGATCCTCACTAAACTAGTCTCTCTACAGTGGTGGCATAAAGAAGAAAATCCTTTGATCTTATAAGAAAAGTTTCAAAACGGACCCATCTTAGCTATGAATTAAATTGCATTAAAAAAAGAAAGGATAGTCTTGTGCAGGTTATCAGCCTTTCTCCTGCAATACTTATTCTCTCTTCTTGTCACAGATTTGTTTTATTTTGCTACAGCAATGCATTATTACAACTTAAAATTCACATTCACCTGAAGAAAGCTGTGACATGCCTACCAAAAGAGACGTACACTGCTTAACCTAAATTGACCCTTTTTTCCTTCTATTCTAATAGATCTTTTTTCTTTTTGTCACTCAAAATGAGTGTCTGATGTATGAGCATAAATTGTTAAAAGCAGTTTTAGGTAAAGGAAGAGAGAGTGAAGTGGAGTTTTCTCACAAAAGCCAACCTCAATTTATGTCAAAGAGGGTTAAAAGACCTTGGGATTAAAGCAATAAACTTGCTGCTGTCAAAGCTAAAACCCGCTAACAATTTAGTGCCAAACGCATGTTGTTCAATATCATTTCATATTATATTATGTCACAAGTAGGTGACAGTTCCACATCAGACTGACAGGGCTGATTTACTCTGAAGAATTCATCGACATTTTGCAGAGTCAAAGCTGACTTCATTTTGTTTGGATGCAGGGTGGGAAATCTCTCCCTGCTCGAGTTGGAATATTTGGCTGAATAACACGGTACTGCCTGGGCCAGAGTAGAGGTGTCTGAGGGCCCAGGTCTGGACACAAAGTTCCCTTTCCCACGGCACAGGGACCTCAGGGACACCCCACGCAGCTGAGGGATCCTGCCCTTCACTTGCCCTAAACAATCCACATCCCTGTTGCCCTTTGTGCCGCTCCACTTTTTGATGTGGTTCCCCCTCCTGCAATTTTTTAAAGTATCCAAGTGTCCTGTTCAATATTTTGATAATATTTTTCTGTCTGAATTCAAGCTTTTATGCTTCTCCAAAATATACCTATTGTAAAGGGCTGAAATAAAAGACTGTGTTAAGAAAATACCACTGGCACCTGCTTATATTTTAAGTAGGGAGTAATAATAACTATTTTTCCAGGATTTTCATTAGATCCCAAGGTCACATGTGATAAGACCATTCTTAGGCCAGTGGCAAAAATATCATTTCTTTATATCAAGATGTCTTTTGCAAGATATTCCCAGGTGGCATTTTTACTTTAGGTTCCAATTCAAATTTCTCCCAGGGCCCTGAGAAAACTGAATAAACATAGTCTTCCTTTTTGTCTCAGGAAAATCTAATTGATCTGAGTTCTCTGACAAGGTTTCAAAGCTTATTCAAAAAGGGTGTCTCTTCCCCAAAATCCAGTGTATTCTTCTGGAATTATTTGAATAACTGTGTGATGCTTATTTCTTTCTCTTATTGGCTATTGCTATAGATCTGGAATTACAACTCAGCTCCTGAGGCTGAGGAACCAGGTTTTCTCAGAACCATTTAAAGAACTACATTTAAAGTAGTCTTGTTATATGTGGAAACAGGAATATCCCTCTTTCCCTTCTTTTTTTTTTTTTTTTTTTTTTTTAAATTGTGGAACCAACTTTCAGTTACCATAGGTTGTTCTTACCTTTATTTCTGGAAAAAACATCTAGACGCATTTGGGGTCTTTAAACACACATATCACTATTTCCTCCATCTAAATACAGGAGTGGGTACATTAGTGCCTGGCCATTAACTTCTGTAAACCACTTAGTGATTCTTCTGTGAGATTCTTTGGGCAGTGTTTGCTGTTCATTCAGGAAAACATGTGCAACAGCACATCGCATGTAAAATGGTCCCATCATCCAACACTGGTTTGTTTTTGCTGCCCATCTGCTGAACAACTCTCAGGCAGCAAAGGGGTTACCTTGTCTATTATGCAAAACCATTGCCAGGGAGCAGAACTTTCAGTGAATTGTTAGAAAGATTAGTGGATGGTTAATCTTATTTGACATTTAGAACACTTGGAGGTAAATTCAGTGCTCAGCTGCCCTAGAGTGTACAGCATGAATATGCTTCTACATATCTATTCCTGTTTAAACTAGTAGCTCTAAAGGCTGGAGGATATACCTGGCATAGAGAGATATTTTGGGAAAAGGGAAAAAAAATGAACAGGTAAACCAACGCCCTGGCTTTAAACATTTACAGTTTTCTCATATTGAAACAAAATTCTACTTTTTTTGGATTATCATCTCATCCTGACACAGACATACTCCTGCTAACTTACAGATTCTGCTAGTAGGATCAAATTCTAATACATTTTATATATTAATATTTCCATGCTCTGTTTTCTGCTGCCCCATCAGTTATGAACATGACAAATACACACATGTATACATGTTTCACTGAGTGCAAAGCCTAAGGTATCCTGGGGTCCAGTGAGAACTCTAAAGGAGAAAAAGGACATATCTGCAGCCTTCTCCTCACAGAGTGGCTCTCAAACCCACTGTGGTGCACACAAAAGTAGAACCATCAAGGATCCAATGAGTTGCAGCTGAAGAAAAGGGATGAACACAGAGCTGTGACACAGCCTGAGACTGCATTTGCTTTCTGCTGTGAGGGGCACAGGAGTACCAGTGACACAAGGGGTGTGTGCTGAGGCACCCAGACCCTTCTGCTGAGCTCCAGCTGAACATGCTCTCACCTTAAGTCCTCTGTAACTCTACGACAGGGATCAAAATGAATTATCATGTCTCTCTTAAGAGGGAAATACTATAACCTCTCTCTCTAGACAGGCTGTGACCTTTCAATTTAGGCTATCAGTTTACTCAGTGCTTGCTCTGTGGTTCATGATTAACTTGAAAGAGTTAGATCACACTCTCTCCAGGTCCTCAAGAAGGAGCTTCTGTTGACTGTTAGAAATCCCTCTTGCAATAAAAGTGCACATAGTATGGCTGTATAAGCTGTCTTTCAAAATTACTTAAGTTCAGTATAAATTCTTATCCAAAAGCCACTAAAAATAGTTCTACTCCTTTTTTTTTTCTTTAGGATACTATTTATGAGAAGACAAAGAGAAAAATAGACTCCTGGTTATTAATAAATACAACTTTGCTTTCATAAAAAAATAAAAACAACCTCCTTATAGAGGGTCTCAGAGCTCTCAGACATTAATTAAACACTCTTATGTAGTTCATGAAAGATGTGTTTCAATTCTGAATATAAAAGGTAAACTGAGTTCAAGAGGCAGTTACTCACACATTCCTGCTGAGCCACTGGCAGAGCAACAGAAATCTTCTGCCTCTTCCTGTGGTTGTGCAGCTGCCCCATTATGTTCTAGAAAACAGAGGGAAAAGTTTCATAAACAATTTTTTTTTTTCCAAAGCTCACCTGCAGACTTTCTCTATTTTTTTTTTGGGGGAAACAGACAAACAAACAAACAAACAAAAACCATCAGCAATTTTCTTAGTCTTCCCTAGGAGGTACCCTAGGAGATGGGATGGATTGAGGAGCAAACACTGGACTGAAGAGCTGCATGGCCTGCTGCCACTGGAAGTGCTCAGGTCAGTAACACAGGGATTCTTTTTGTTATTTATTATTATCCACACCTCTGCACCTAAAACCTGCTTGCTGGAGGTGAGTAGATTCTTTCAGATATTTTTAGTTATCCACAGCTGTACCTTTCCCTTCATTTAGTGATGAATGCCAGGCGATGATGGGAAAATCCCTCCTTTGCTTCAACATGTGTATGCTCCAAACAGAACTAATAGCAAAAATTTCAAAATACCTCCCAATTCATTTTACACACTCAAAGGATCAAACAGTTTGTGCTAGTTTCCAATGCAGTAGCAGCTCAAGCTCAATGTAACACTTGTACTTTACCTTTCCACCAGGGAAAGGTAGAAATACAGTAGTGAGCCAACTGCAGGGGTATTTAAATAGCTAAAGCCAACTGGAAGTTTTTAAGAACAAAGACTGAGACTGTCACAAATAAGTAGATGTAACCTTACAAAGATGTATCACAGGACCTTGCAGTTTCTCACCGACAAGTCTAGTCTACAGCTCCCCTCACTGTAGTAACACCTGACATAATTACTCACACTGCACTATTTGCTTTGTCTTAAGTTCAAGAGAAATCCCTTTTTATCACTCTGAACTCAGGTCTTTGACTCCCCTTCAGCTGTGGTTTGTTACCAAGAGATGCTCAGGCCCCTAATTCATCCCTTTAACCTGTTTTGTCAAGGAAAAGGTAAAGTGAAGCTTTTGAGCTCAGCTGGCCCTGCTTCTTCTGATTTTGAGTTTTCCAGAGCCTTGAAAATTCTTCTTATAAGCTGGAATTCATCTGGGAATAAACGTGTGCCTGCTGAGGTGTCTGTATGTCCACAAATGTGGGGACAGGATGGGATCAAAGGACTTTCAGCTGCTGTCACCTGAGGTATCACATTCTCTAAAGCAGAAGAAAAACAGTGCACACTGAACAAAGATGTTGGCCATGGACGACAAACCTGGAATAAAGGAGGCATCAGTTCTCTACAACAGAAAACAGATGAGTTGCAGAGTTTCAGGGACAGGAAAGTTCACCTAAAATGACCTTGAGGATTAAAGCCCATATTAAGCACTGCAGTGGTCAGCACAGTATTTGCATTTTTAATTTATTCTTCCAAATGAAGTATCTTCATAAATAATCCTTCATTTAGAAAAAGAAATAGGTGTTATTCAATGACATGACACACCTGAAAAGCAACTTTCATTGTTTGCATTTCCATACAAAATTTCAGAGGCTCAAGAAATTACTTTATGCATCTGAAGAGTTAGTATTGTCCTCACTTTTAAGTTTTTCTTTTTATAATAACAGCCATCTACCGCTATTACTGTAGCTTCTTGTCCAGATCTCCCTTTGGAGACTTTCTGACTACTTAACACCATTTTTCAATTTCTCTACTTATGCATATACATCTTCAGTCCAGATATGAGAATTTGCTAATGGACTGCAACTTTTTTTCCAAGATTCCCATGTGTAGAATTTTACATAGGCTGATCCAAAGTCTAAACTCTGCTTGCCAATGCCTTATGCCAGCAATATGCCTGCAACCATCGACCCCAGAATTATGCTAACATTTTTGAAGTATAAATTTAATTTGAGTACAAAAGAGAGCAAAAAGTATCAGATTATATATTTAAAATAAGACTAAGGTGTACACGTTGTCATATGGACAAAAAAACCTGGTGCATATTGAAAATGTGGTTCCCTCCTGCACTATGTACACTTTTAGCTGCAGAGTGAAGAATAAATGGCAGTGGTTAGAAAATGGAAAACATGGGAGGCAGGCACACCTACCTCCTGTTCCTGAGGTCACACCACTTTTGCATTTTACCCACAACAAAGCACATAATGCATCCATTTGGCTTTCTTCATTCATTGAAGTAACTCTGTGACACTCTCTAGTGGAAGGCAGACACACACCACCTCAGCCACGCTCTGCGTGCACCGAACAGTCACGGGGAAGCAACACCACGAGAAGGGAAACTGGCTGAAACGGAGCTTGGGCACTGTTGCATGTGTTTTGCTGCACTCTTATTTTTTAACACCACAACCAAAACACTTACAGACAGGTCCCTTCTGTTTGAAGCCCAGAGGATAACGTGGTACTGAAGCATAAATAAAGAGTGCCACTAGCAAGGAGTAACTGGCAGCAGACAAAGCCCAAGCCAGCAAACTGTCACGATTGCTCTAGAGGGTTTATAAGCTTTATCAAATCTGTGCTAGCTAATTCACTTGCAGAAGTGTACTGATAACACTGCGGCTTTTTTTTCCTCTTGCTTTTATTATGAACAGAAAGATAGACAGGTCCTAAGGACAGATCCTTTTCACAGCTCTGCTCTCTTCTGCCAGCACATGCCCTTCTACTTCTCACAGATTACCAGGTTAAACTAGGGATGTCTTTGAGCCAGGAGCATTTATTGCAATAAAACCCAATAAATTTAAAAAAAAAAAAAAAAATCTTCCCCCTCCTTTCTAACACTTACATTGTAGTTGGAAACAACATTTAAAAAAAAATATACAGATCCAATCTGGTGTTCCTTGCCTCACTGAATTTGCAAGTGGTTGTTTTTCACCACTCCCAGTAAACATACTGAAGTTATCATTTCTGTGGACAGAGGAATTTTTATTTTTATTTATATATATATATATATTTCAGGGTGGAGCATTTGGCTGCCCTCCCTTCTCCCCCTCCAAGTTTAGATGCAGTTTTTTGCATATTGTTATACCGACACTACTTTATCAACAGCTATTGTTGAACAACAACTGCTATTAATCTAAATGACATAAATTAATACCACCTGCTGTAAGTACAGAGGAAGTTTGCTTTATACTTTTAACTGCAGCTTTTGAAGTATCCAGGACAGGATGCAGGTAGATCCACGGATCTCTGTAATTTTCTCACTTCATACATGTAACTGCTCAAAATGATGCCTCTGGGGTGGAAAGGTTTACAAAAGGGATGCCCAGCTCTGAGCTTGGTGCCTTGCAGAGTCATTCTGGCTGCACTTCTCCATGTCTGGTACTTCTTTTCTGAAGGCTTCCTCAAAGCCTTCTGGTGACCGTCCCCAGGAGCTCCAGGCACAGCAGCCTGTGGGAAACTGACAAAACACTGGAAAATTCTGCCAAATAATAAAAAAACCCCCAACCCCACGTTTTGGTTTTTTTTTCTAAACATATTTCCATGAATAATTGAGAAAGCACACTTGCTAATTTACTGCATGTTTGTCTTTATGGAGTATTTTAAAAATAAAATATTTCACTCCCTCCTGCCTCTTCTTAATTTGTCCTGTCATTCAATTTCTGTAACTAATTTGAGGAGAATTCTCTAATGTTTCACCACCCTGCCAAAGCATAGTTTTTGCTTGAATGTAATGCAGAACTATTTTAATTGCAGGGAACATTAAAAATCCACCCCACAATGTGGGATTATTCCTCATGCTAATTTCTAGAAGCCCAAACTGTAGACGTGACTGAATTCAGATTCCTGTTTCACACAAACACAAAGTGAAAAATTCTGCCTGAACTCTATTCAACTCAGACATTCATAAAGTATCTCTATAAATTAAGCTTTAAATAAGATTTGGGTCAATATTTTTTTCTGAGGAAAGTTCACTAAACAACAGTTTTGAAATCAACTATCATGACACATGGACAAAGGCTGCATAGAGCTCAGTGTTGTTGTGCACCTCGCTGGGTCAGTTGGTTTCTAACCCAGAGTGATTGGAAAGAAAGATCCTCTTCCAGGGGATTCAGAACAGGATCTGAATGTAGGTGCTCCCAGTTATTTCCCATAGGAGCTACTTTTTCTCTTGGCTACAGGTGGTGCTGAGGAAGACTAGAGACCTATTCATATATGAGAGTAAGGATCTACACCAAAAAAAAACCTTTTCTTAATTGTAGAGGGTAGAAGTGTTGCCAGTTTACAAAGTGAAAGCACAAGGATCATAAGGAAGTTTCCTTCAGTAATTTAAATCTAATGATATTGTACCTGAAAAAAAAAAAATTAAGGACACCAGGATCTGCCTTTGGAAGACATGAATTCAGTGCAGTGGTGTGAAGGCAAAGGTGCTGTCACAGGGTGATCACATCACTAAGCAGAATTAAGCTTTGTCATTTTAAAAATTCAAACCTGAAGATATTTTAAGTTACTTATTTTAGGAACACACGTAAGAAGCATTTAGGGCATTACCTTCACTTGGAGTTTTCTTCTCAAAGCCTCTAAAACATTTAATATTTTCAGAAGATATGAAGGCTTTTCAGAGATAATATGTTTGCTATAGCCTATCACACGTACTATGGAAATTCCAGAAAATAAGACCAAATGTACTAATTTATAGTTAAAAGGATGATATTCTGTTTTTCTAACTGCAAGAAACTGAAAATATGATTCAAAAAGTCTGATATTCTGCATGACCAAACACACTTTCATCTAAACCACTAATTATTTTACCTGTAAGAAAAATATCTCTAATTTTCACTGCTGGAAAATCATCAAGATTTAAGTGCTGTAAAGAATATAATAAAACTTATATAGTACTTTTCACACTATAATGTCTCATGACTTTTACATACAATGAAATATTAAATCACAAAACATTAATGAATAACTAGTAGAAGAGGTAGTTTAGCACTTTCAATGCTGAAATTTAGAATTTCTAATAACTGAAGATGACAAGATGCACAATTGAAAAGAGGAATAATAGAAGACTAAAAATAGATGCCTTGAAACTGCACTGTATTTAGCTATATTAACACAGAGACTGTGATCTTAAGCAACTGCTCAACAAGCCTT